TTTATAAAGTTTTCTCTGAGATCTACGCTCTTTATTATCTTTCATATACTCGGCTAATCTTTCCTTAAGCTTTTTTCCAAAAGCAAAATAGCATATAATAATTTCTTGATTCACACTTTCAATTCGTTCTTCAGTCTTAACAATTGCACTATATAAATCAGAAAAATTACTTGGGCTTGTGATAGATTCAATCTGAGAAGTGGTACTACTTGTTGAAGAACTTGGCGATTTCAGTTCCCTAATAAGTTTTTTTAACATAGATACATTTCTGTCTTTAGTTTTTACTTTCTTACTAAATAATTTATTTTCAGGGGTATCTTTACTAGGTCTTTTATAGGATTCTTTTTCTAAAGGGATAATGCTTTGGTCTGTTGGATGATTACTTTCACCATCTTCATTATCATCTACATCCAACATATCTTCTTCTATAATTTCTGGTAAATTTTGAGATTGGATACTATGTTTTTCCATTCTTCTAACTACTGATGATGTACTTGATTCAAAGCCTCTTCTATGTCCTGTTTCAATAATTTCAACCTCCTTACTACAACCAGAAAATGGACACATATTTGAAATTGTAAGTAAAAGTTTTTTTTCAATACAAAGTCTATGAAACACATGTCTACAAGATAGTGTTGTAAATGCCTTAAGAGGAAATGAAATAATTTCTTTTCCACATTCCGAACAATTACTTAAATTTGGAATTTTTTTTCCCTTAATAATACTATCCTTGAAGGTTTTTAGAATATTATATGCGAGATTTTTAATGTTATTAATGAGAATAGATAGTGTAAAAGTAGAAGTGATAGACATATTTCAATTATAACCAGATAAGTTTTACATAATGAAATCTCTTATATTTTGCTTATTTTTATAGTTTATTCTTCACAACTAACAAACCTAATTTGCAGATTTTATAAAATCTCATTTCAGATTTGGTGATCTATTCATTCAGAATTAATTAGTATGGGGGAATCGCTTGATCTTTGCTAACAATCATGGATAAAAAATTTAGCTTAAGAGTAGACCCAAAGGGTCATTGCTCTGCAATAGGTGCAGTTAATGAGTTGGTTAGTACCGAAATACTTCTATGCTAATCTCTAATTCGTGGATTTAAAACACATGACATTACTCCCTTGAGGCCCATTATAATGTGATGTGATTTACTTCACTTTGTAGCTATATATAGGATTATCAAGCTCAATAATTAACTTTACCTTTTACTTTACGCTTTCGAATAGGGTGTTTCTTTACTGCTCTAGTCTTATGCACATGTGTAATTTCTATTTCTGAACTAGATGTGGAAGAATTACTTGAATCACTGTCTGAAGTGTCTGAATTAGAAGAAGCATCTGTGGAATATTTGACATTATTTTTCTTACTCTTATTTTTGAAAACATCATCATTTAATCTTCTGGATGGTAGATGTGTAGAAGGTATGTTGCAAAGCAATGACCCTTTGGGTCTATCTCCAATATTTGAGAAAATTTTGTTAATTATATTCATAACCTCCTCTTAAGCTAGACCAGGTTTAGATTCTGTTGATTTAGATAAATTATTTTTAGTGGAGCTGGCTTTGTTAAAATCTTCATCGAATAACGGGATGCTCATACTATCTATTACAATTTTAGCATAGCGGACACAGGTTTTGGAAGAATGTCTAAAGCTTATTTTTGCTTCACACATCCATAACCAATCTTGCCCCAACACCAGATCGAATAATGGATTTTTGTGAATTTGAAAGTCTATTAGTTCAGTATCACCTAAACTCTGCCATTTTCTTTTAATGCAAAACTGTAAATCTAAGTCTTTTATTTTTTTGCCTATTAGATCATCACCAACTATATCTTCTAATCCGTGATCAGATTCAAGCTTATCGAATAAGTGTTTGCTAATAGTATTATATTTAGATGTTGTATCAATTAATACTTTTACTGGGATTTTTCCTTTGACAAGGATATTTACAAACATTTTAAGTATATTTAATGATGTATTTTTTTATTGCATATTAATAAATAATTTAACATAGACAATAACTGAAAATAATAATATTGAATTAGTGCTAAAGCAACAGAATGTGATTGATTCATGTTCAGAATGTCCAATTATCACTTATGAGATTGCAAAAAAATTGGGTTTCAAAAAAGATAAAAGTTTACCCAACATTACCGATAAAGTGGTATCTGATATTGTTAAGCAAGTATCGGGTAAAAAAATCCAGATTTCTCTCTGCCAATTACTGGAGATAGTGAAACCCAAGATTCAGCAAGATATTATAAACTCGATAGCAAACCCAGATATTTCTCGGAGAAATTGTATACTATCTGAGGCTAAAAGAAAAAAAACAATTTTTAACGATACTGCATCTGAGTCCTTGTCTGAATCTGGGTCTGGCTCTGAATCCTCTTATGATAATAAAGATTTTACTGTAGATATGGTAAAAGTGAAGAAGTGCAATTAATCTTGATCATAGATATGAAATCGTCTTGCTTGCTCATAAGGAACTCCTCATTTTCTATAATTGACTACAACGTAATTTTGCACAGAAGAAGTATGATTATCAGATGAATGACGTAGACATTCTCCAGCAATTGTATAAGCATGGGCCATATTCTTAGCCTCATGTGCTATTACACCATAAACTGCTCCTAATTTACATAAATATTTAGGAATTAAATCATAATCTTTTAAGAATCTATTGAACCATTTAACTTCTGGCTTACCTAGATCACTCATTCGTCCAGATGATATAGCATGCTGAATCCAAGTGAGTAGTTCTTTGGCTCGTTCTTGATTCTTTTCCATAGATCTAAATTTTCTAGGAATATTAGGCTGACCTCAGTTCTTCGCATAACCCGTTACTCCAGTATCTGTAATGTGTAAAGTTTAAAGTTCAGCAGGATGAATACAAAGCATCATCATAACATCAGCAAGAGCCTGATAATCAGGTAAAGTTTTAATATTGTACGCATCTAATCTTTCTTTGACTGATTCTAATGTAAATTCATCTGAATAATCGATACGTTTAGCTTTAGCTTTTTTCCAATTGATACTCTGGATTTTGTTGGCATCTTCTGTAATATCTGGAAATTTTGTAACCTCAATTATCTCAAGTGATGCATTAAGGTTCCTTAATTCTCTACAAAGACGAGTGAGATGTGATGAGCCAGCATTAGCATTTTTTGCTGATAGAGCTAAGGCATAAGCTTTAACTCTTACATCTCTAATGCTAAGTTTATTCTGTAAAATCCATTGCATCATATCCCCAATTGTTTCTTCCTCCATTCCTTTAGAGAGTTGATTGGTGATTACAATATTTATGTTTTTATCTGAGGTAGTTACACTGTATCTACTTTCGTTTTTCGGGATTGTGAATAAGGCATTTACTTGATCATCACTAAACTCATATCTATTTTGCAAGATTCGTTTTGCTTTCTCTCTGACAATCTCTTCTTCTAAACTTTTTGGAGACTTGGTTATAGCTATTCTACAATTATCTTCAACCAAATTTATAGTTTTATTTTTCCTACTTCTCTGATTAGGTATCAATACACCTACCTGTTCACTGCTAAATTTAAAACCATCCCGAAGGCGTCTGCGAGCCTGATTCCACTTCTTATCATCGGTAAGGTTTTCAAGAAATTCTGAGGTATATTAACTGAGATCGGATATACCCATCTTAGAGCTAAGATTGTATTTTTCAATGATTTTAGTTGTAATGGCTGACATAATTGAATGTTATAATAGGTTGGGTAGATTATGAGCAGTTCTTTAGATTATATACACTATAAAAAATATTTTTTAAAATTGAAATTAATTATGCTTTTTTCTCCTATACCTAGAAAAAAAGAGTTTATATATACCTATAGGGTAAGTAGGATGTCGATTTGAAATTTACTAACATATAGGTTATAACGAAAAAATTTATAACCTTGGAGTTGCGATTCAGGCTAAATTAAGATTTACGATTTATTTTTATTTTTTATAATGCTTGGAATAGATTTCAGTATTTTTCTATACTTATGGACCATTTCTTGTAAATATTAGGTCTATTTTCTATTATATCAATCGGTAGTATCGTAACTGGATGGGACAGAACATTCATGAATCTAATTTGCTCAGGATAATAATAATCTATAATATCTGGTAATTGTAGAAATTCAGCTAAATCTTTTATGTACCTAAAACTATTACACATTAGTTTGCGGAATGTTGGTCCATTGTGATCGATCTTTCTCTTGATTAATAAGTTAACTACTTTCTGGGGTGTTTTCATTTTTAAGTGTGATGTATAGTGTCAATATATATTTGATTATATTATTACAAAAAAATTTGGAAAAGTTTAAATTGATTTTATATTAAATATATTCATATAAAAAGTGAAACAGGCTTTATACATTATATATTAAATCACTTTAAATAGGGTATCCAATCAGTCAATATGTTAAAGAAGATGATTCGGAGTGTTCAACATATCAATATGTTAAAAGTGATAGTTTGGGGCATTCAACCTGCCCATATGTTAAAAGAGATGGTTTGATTTGTGAAAAAGGTTGTTGGTGGGACATAAGGTGTTCATTGCACTAAAAATTATATAATATGAATATAGCAAAATTTCCTTGTGGGATCTGCAGAAAACTAACAATTTCTGGGACAGGATATTGTCCTAAACATGTGAAGAGGGTTTACTTTCGAAATTGGTATGAGAGACAAAAGGCACAGAGAATAGAAGCGGATGAATAATTGTATAGATCCTAATATTAAGCATCACAAAAATGGTATTCATAATAGGATATTTTTTACAAGTATCAATTTTAAGCATCACAAAAATGGTCTTCATAATGGATTTTTTACAAGTATCAATTTTAAGTATCACAAAAACCCCCTTTGTAAAATATACCACGAACTCTAAATATTTGTTTTAAATAATATCGAATAAGTCCTGAGTATTTTGTGAGATACAATTAGGAGATGGTTCTAATTCATCAGGTGAGAGTTTACTATATCCATAATGCATATCCTCATCATTTTCATAAAATTGCCCTTCATCTGTTTGATATGGTGGTAATTTGGAAGCATCCTCATAGTCAAATGTTCCAACTAGATGGTAATACGTATTTTTATTATTAGTAGTTTTAAACTTTATCTCATAGATTGTAGAAAGTGCTGAATTTAATAAACCAAGTTTTGCTTTATCTGATTTTAAGCCAGATTTTTTAGCACTACGAGATGCATTTGTATTATCAAAAACCTAAGCCATTTTTGGTACTAAATTTTGGAGGTATTGTATCGATTCTGATGAGTTTAAGCATGTTTTGACATCAATAACTTTATATCTATTTCGATCATCAATATCTTTAACAGGTGTACAAGTCTTTAGTAATTCCAGACAAATTCAATGCTTCTCAGCTTGGGTAATGGTTGTAAGTCTATTATTCCTATAATCTTCACGGATAATAGCCTCAACCGCTGTCTCATTATTAGTGCCTGCATCTCATAGTTTTCAGAGGTTTCTAAACCATTTCATATGATCATATTTACCGTAATCTGTAATAAATTCTTCAGTTATAGATTCAGATGATACTTCATAGCAATCTGCAATATGATCCAGTTTAACGTATATATTTCTTCTAAAGTCTTCTTTGGTTTGTTTTCTAGGTGTTCAGCCATCTCATGATTGAGAATATTGGCATTAGCAATGTCTGAAATTTCCTCTGCTTTAATAGCCAAAAAATACCCCTTTACTGTTTCAGTTAATGTCACAGTATTATCTTTAGCTTTTGGAATAGCTTTTATTATAGAAATTATCATACCTGCCTTTTTAAGAAAATCTACCATTCTCCACCCAAATAAACAATGAGATTGGAATTTTTCCAACATATATGCCACCCATAATCGAATTGTTGAAATATCCTTATTTCGAATTATAGATTCTACATCTGGGAATATTTCTCTATTTTGAAGCTCCAGAGGTAGAGATTCTCGTTTTGCTTTTAATAACCAATTAAATAACTCTTCTTCTATAATAGGGACATTAGATGCTCTTTGCTCAATATAATACACATAATTCTTGATACATCTCATATAGAACAGCATTTGATTTGTTCCAGCATTTGTTTTGATATAGCTGTTAAAGAGACAGAATGCCCGCTCAAACTTGTAGTTAGTACAAGAAATGTCTATTTTTAAAGTGCTAGTATATGCAACAAGGTCCACCTCTTTCCATGTTTCATCAACATTACTAAAATCTTGAGCCTTTTCAGCCGGATCAGACTTATCATGATAATTTTTAATATGTAATTTAGGAAAATCAGTTCTAAGAGCATGAACAATCCCTTGTACATCCTTTCTGAGATGACAGATAAGAGATGCACTTTTTCGTTCATTGGAGGTAATGAAGATATTTGCTTAGCCCATTCCCAGAGTTCGGCTAATACAGTTTCTTTATTAGAAGCCAAGCAAAATGTTTTACCTTTTTGAAGTTGATAGATGTTATGGATAACTGAGAAGAGTTTATTTTTGCAAAGGTTTTTTATCTATTTGATATTAAAGTCTGTAAGATCATTATCTATAGCAATAATTCGCCTCGCCTCTTGAATTAATTTATATAAATCCTCTCTTGATCGCCCTGCTAAACGGGTGTGGGCTTGAGCAATTATAGATACTATTTCATCAAGCCATAAATTATATGGTATTGGAGAATATTTACATTTCTTCTTGCATCTACATTTATTAATAATGCGATGTAAACTCTTTATTTGACACACTACTCTTTGATGGTCTAGGAGGTTAATATTCCCATCAATATTAGTATACAATTTGAGGTTGAGCCTTGTAGTAATGGCACTAGAATAAGTGTGTCATGTAGATAATACAAATAAGTTTACACCATCAGGTATTGTAAAATGCTCTAAAGTATAAGTTTTTCCTGTCTCC